GGAAAACAAACCAGGAGAAACTTACTGAATCATGGAAATAAGCAGGGTGTGGTGAGCAGATACAAGGATGACAAAGGCAACAAGGCATGGAGACCAAATAAACTAACAGACTGAGATAAGGAAGGAGGATATATAGGGAGAACAACAGGGGATAATGGTCAACAGGTGAAAACAATGAATGGTGATTGTGACTAGAGTAAAGCTGGGGCATGCAAGGTAACATAGGACAGGAAGTCTAACCAAAATAAAGGCACAAAACAGGAAGCCAGACCGCAAACCATAACACACAAGTGCTTTTTGATGCAGAAAACAGTGATTCCACATGGCATTCAGAGCTCTCTTCAGGATTTTCTTCACAACTCCTGAATTTTTTCTAGCCATGGAAGCTGTGCCATCAGTTGTTACCCCTACACAATTGTCCCAACTCAGTTCCATAGTCCAAACAAAAAAAAATCCATAGCGTTGAAAATGTCCTCTGCCTTTGTAGATGTGGAGAGATCTCAGGTGCATACAAACTGCTCCTGTATGTCTCTGTCCCACACGTGTCTCATGTAAACAAGCAAAATGGCATGATTAGCAATAGCTGTTGACTCATCCATTTGCAATGCATAGTAAGTGCCGGCCTGAATCCGCACTGAGGTCTGCTGTTTTGTGTTCCCTGACATGTCTTCAATGCGTCGCATTATGGTGCTATTATATAATGGTATGACCTTCAACGTGTCTGCTGCAGACAGCCTAATAACTCTCTGACCATGTCCAGGGCTGCAGGTAAGGGTAGGTCTTTATTGATCCCACAAGTGGGGAAATTCCAGTGTTCCAGTAGCAGTAAGGGACAAAAACAAGAGAGAGCAAGCAACAAGACACCATAAGAACAGATACCACACACCGATCTTGATAGACAAAATCAGAAAGCACGGAAAGAAAAAAACACAAAAGAGGATAGAGCTACTGGAACTCACTGCCGCTCCATGCGGCAGGGGAGAAGATAGGCTAACGCCAAAAAAACAGGAGAGTGGGAGAACGGGACGAACAGGGGAATAGACAAGCTAACCAAGGGGACAGGCGGACGAAAAGGGAAATCCACAGCACAGGTACTGTCAGCGTGGATAACAAAAGAACGTCTAGCTAACCACATGGAAAAAAAAAAACAAACTCAGAGATCCACAGCACAGGAAGTATCAGCGTGGACGTATAACACTTAACATATAACCAACGTACAAAATGCGATCCACAGCACAGGAACTGTCAGCATGGAAAACAAAATGACGTACAAATACATACCACGACTATAGGGATGTTACGGGGTATGCACGTTAATGCTCTGGCGGCGACGGAGCATCCACCAGAGGTATAAATAAGGTAGGAGGGTGATTACAGTAATGCGCCCCAGCTGTGCGCGACAACCCACAAGTCACTAATTACAAAATGCGACACAGCTGAGGCGCTGATCCTGCAAGAAGAGCGAGCAGGAGAGAGAAAGGCAGAAGAGAGGCAGGTCGCGCCGAGCGGACCTGACAGAGAATACACAAAAAAAACAGACAGTACAAGCATTTCAAAACAGCAAACACCACAAGGATCTCTTAAAAACAAATCAAGAATCTTAAAAAACAATTCAAGAATAGCCAAAAAAGAAGACAGTACAAGCATTTCAGAAAAAGTCAGGAACAGATATCGCTCTCACTCAAATCACAGACAGGGCAGGGAGGCATGGTCAAGGTCCCCGAGATAAGGATTAGGGCCTGCGGGTGCTGTGTCCGCCGAGACACCATGCGCCTGCACGCAGCAGCAGAATCGGCCCGGGGATCAGTGGAGAACCGTCACCACGGACCACAGATCCTGGAGTCCCGGTGAAGCGCGTGCAGGACCTCTCCTCCTGTACACCCCGCCAGCACGGCCAGCGCGGCCAGCTCGGCCAGCTCGTCCATCTTGTCCCCCAGCGCCTCACTCCAGCTCCTCGCTCCAGTTCTGCAGACTCGCCCCTCTCGTCGCATCCCGGTGGGAATCCCCAGCAACTCACAACAAGGAAGCTGACTGTTGGCAAGCAGAGCAAACAGTCGGGGCCACGACACAATGGTCCCCCCGAGGCAGACTCAAAAGCTCATAAAAAAGTACAAAATAAGATGCAAATGCAATAAAAGTTGTAGGTGATAGCTCAACTCCACAAGCATTTACGGAAAGAAGACATAGCAAAAAAAAGCAAACACAGAAGCCCAAGGAAACACGAAAATAAACACAAAAGAGGCAGAGCTGTTGCAGCTCGCTGCCGCTCCGCACAAAGCGGAACGAGCTCTTCTGTATGCATCTTCTTGGCCTTTGCTATATGCTGGACTATGAGGTAGGAGGCCCGTAGTGCCTGCTCTGATTTGGAACACAAGGACAGCAGTTGACTTCTGGGTGGCCCTCAGGTCCCGAAGTAGACTTTGAAAGTATTTGACCCCTGACCTGGCGGGACCACGGAGATTACGATTTTTGTCAACAGCTTCTGCAATTCCGCTGTCAGCGCAGCAGAGTCTGCTGGTGATGTCTCCAGCACTCCACTGAAAGCAGGGGTATGCCTGGGGAATTGCAGAGTGTACCCAGTTCAAATCAGCTTGTCCATCCAGCTGTTCATGGATAGCCGCTCTTGGCACACAAGGTTGCGCTCTGAAAGCGGACGCGCACTCATATGTGGGGCATCTATGGACATTGTCACAAGCCACTGATGCGCCCTCTCTGCCATTGTGAGGGCCGAATATTTGCTCCTCACAACCCATAGGAGGGCAGTGGTGAAAGGGCTGTGAAGAAGTGAGCACCCCGAGTTGAACTTTGCCACCTTTGTCACGTGCCGGAGAAAAACCACCACTCACACACACCAGTGGGTGGGAGGTAGGGAAACCGCAGAGGGATGATGGCAGTGTCACTGAGTCCACTGTTGTGGAAAATGCTTTGTTAGATGTGATGACAGGGAGAGAATGAATTGTGTTCAGAGCATCCCATGGAACAGCCGATGTGAGGGTGATGGCTGTGTGGTGGGGAAAGGTGTGTAAACAGACAGTACAAATTCAGAAAAAGAAGAAAAAGCACTGTCAGGAGACTGCTTTTTACGGGCTTGTGAGAGTGTGATTGTCTCTGGTTAATCACACACTCCCCACCTCCCGCCGCTGCCTTCAGAGGGTTTGTCCCTGTGCAGGCTGCATGTCTAGCAGCTTGGGAGCATTGCGGGGTGGCCTGTCTGAAGGTCATGGCAGGAGGAGGGGGAGGATATGCAGTGGTCAGTGGCGGAGTGTACTGCGGTGCAGCGGCAGCAATAGCTGGGCATCTCAGCCTGTGGTGCTGTTACCTGTGGGTCAGACTGAGAGGGCTGAGG